CCCCCCCCTGAAGGGGGGGGGTGGGGGGGGGGGGGAAATGGGACACACTAAATTAAGGAGTGCTGCTCCTAAACCACAACAGTCTTTAACTGACACCCAGTGTGAGGCATGAAGGGTTGAGATAACAGACTTGCCCAGAGTTGTTGGGAAGCAATTTTGATCTAAGAATTTGTTGTATGGAGCCACTGGGCACAATGTTGCTTGGTCTGTTCACATGGTTATGGTACTTAACCCTGTATGTATTTCTGTATATGCACTATGTGCCGATCACAGTGCTCCTTCTCAGAGCAGGGATAGGGATCAGGATTGCTTTGTTGCTGTATTGTGTGATATCAGTTTATGACATTATAACATCAAGGGCAATGAGGGCCATTAGGGATGTGTCTTTAGTGCTGCTCTCCTGCCATGGCCTTGGGTGCTACCTCTGGAAATTCATTAATAATCATACCTAGCCTGTGGGGGAAACAGGGAAGGATGATTTTCCCCAGCTTTTTACCCCCTCTTCCTCCTTCAGGCCTGTTACATCAGCTTTTGAGAATTTTCAATTTCCTTTGGATATTAAGGAAAGCCTCTTCTTGTTGCTAAGTCTGCCAGGTCTCCTCAGTGCGGTCTACACCATGTTCAGAATCAAGAAAGAGCTATCTAGGGAGGTTATTCAGAGATCTGCCATAAGGGTAGATGGATAATCATGAGTGGCATGGAATGTGGGAGAAAATGAGCCAGTTTTGGGGGACATTCTCTGCACCAATCGTTTGGAAGTTCACCCTTGAACAAATATAGGACCCTGTTAAAGTGACAGAATATTTGCAAGGACAATGCTGTGACCGCTCCACAGGGGAGCAACTTGTTGCAGTGTGCTGGGCCCTGGCTACTATTTATTGGACACTGCTCGTCACTAGACAGCACCCTCAGGGGGAGGAGGAGGAAAGCAGAGCAACTGACACTGTGGCCACTCAAACTGCAGTTGAACAAGAGGAACAACCCATGCTGGTATCAGTCATACCTATACAGAAAAAAAAATCCAAGACCGAATAATTTCACTTAGTGGGGGTTAAAGATGAAGCAGGGCCCACACAACAGGAGGAAGAGGCAGGGCCAGAGATAATCACCTGATTCCTATCCCTGGATGAGCTGCAAGATATGTGAAAAGATTTCAGCTGCCAGTTGGGTGAGCCCATGGTGACCTGGCTGCTCTGATGCTGGGGTATGGTGGCCCATTATATGAAACTAGATGGTAGCCAAGCAACTGGGATCCCTGTTCCAGGATGTGTGCATTGACCAGAAAATTAGGAAGAAGACACAGAATCACTAGGTTGAAAGAGACCTTCAAGATCATCGAGTCCAACCCAGCCCTAACACCTCAACTAGACCATGGCACCAAGCGCCACGTCCAATTTTTTTTTAAACACATCCAGGGATGGCGGCTCCACCACCTCCCCGGGCAGACCATTACAGTACTTTATGACTCTTCCCATAAAAAAACTTCTTCCTGCAAAAGTTGCCAAATTAAGTTCAAACTGAGCTTTGGCCTCCCTAATTTTTTTCCTCCATGCCTGAGCAACCCCCTTGAATACTTCGAGAGAAACCTGACCCTCCTTCCTAAGATGATACATCTTCTTTTTATTCCTGAGTTCCTTCTAAACCTCCTTGCCCATCCAGGCTGGACATTTGCCTCGTCGACTCATCTTTTGGCACACAGGGACAGTCTGTTCTTGTGCCCTCAAGATCTCTGTTTTGAAGCACACCCACCTTTCCTGGATTCCTTTGTTTTTAAGGGCTACTTCCCAAGGAACTCTCTGAATAAGTCTCCTAAATACGCCAAAGTCTGCCCTCCTGGAAGTCCAGTATGAAAGTCTTATTAATGTTCCTCCTGATTTCACCAAATATCGAGAACTCTATAATTTCATGATCACTATGCCCCAAGCGGCCTCCAACCAGCCCATCTCTCTTTGCAAACAACAGGTCTAACATAGTCCCTCCCTTGGTGGGCTCACTCACCAGCTGTGACAAAGTGTTGTCCTCCACACACCCTAAGAACTTCCTGGACTGCCTCTTTTCTGCTGTATTAAGTTCCCAGCAGATGTCTGGTAGGTTAGAATCGCCCACAAGAACAAGGGCTGGTGATCCTGAAACATTCTCCAGCTGCTTATAGAATAAGTTGTCCACCTCTTCTTCCTGGTTGGGTGGACGATAACAGACTCCCAGTAGGATGTCAGCCTTGTTGGCCTTCCCCTTAATTCTTACCCATAGGTATTCAACTTCATCGTCATTAGTTTCAATACCCATGGTATCAAAAGCCTTTCTAATATAAAGGGCCACCCCTTCACCTCTTCTCCCTATCCTGTCTCTTCTGAAGAGCTTGTAGCCATCCAGTGCAGTGCTCCAGCTATGTGAGTCATCCCACCACATTTCTGTGATGGTGACTACATCATAGCTTTGCTGCTGCACCATGGCCTCCAGCTCTTCTTGTTTGTTACCCATGCTGCGTGCATTAGTATACATGTACTTCAGCTGGGCTACTGATTTCACCCCTAACTCAGGCTTACCACCCTTGGGCCTGCTTCCAGACAGCCCAGCTGCATCCCCTTCCCCTTTTAAACCTAGTTTAAAGCCGTCTCAATAAGTTCTGCCAGTTCATAAGCTAAAATCCTTCTACCCTTAAAAGAGAGATGGAGCCCATCCAGTTCCAGCAGGCCAGGTGCCGAAAAAGTTGCCCCATGATCAAAAATCCCAAAATTCTCCTGACGACACCAACCCTTGAGCCACTTGTTAATAACATGGGTTCTCCTATTCCTTTCAGTGATTTTTTTCTGCCACTAAAGGGACTGAGCAGAACACTACCTGTGCTCCTGCTCTATCAGCCACTGGACCCAGTGCCCTGAAGTCCCTTTTTA